TAATTTTTTATTAGTCAAACATATAATTTACCCAGATTTAAATTTAGTTGATAACATTAATAAATTATCAAAATACTTATACTAACATAAGTAATCAATACAAAAAATAAAAAAAAATTCTATTTTTTTAGAAAATTGGATTTCATAAAAAAGCTGAAAAGAAAAGATTTAATCAATTAAATTTAGTTCATAATTATTTATATATAAATATATAAAATCTTTTTGTTGTAGGTGGGCTGAGCACAGCCCTCTTTTTGTAATTTCGTTCAAGCCCGTTAGCGAAATGGAAGCCCAGTAAAATCAAGGATCAACAAGCCCATGCGCGAAGAGTAAAACGAGGTCGTTCGGGGAGACGACCTTTTCATATTCAAAGGAGCAGCTCGCCACCTCGACACGGATGGGACGTCTCGCCACCTCGACATGGATGGAACAGCTCGCCACGTTGACATAGATAAAACAGCTCGCCAGCACGACATTTTAATAGACGGTCGGTCAGGTCTATCTACCCGGCCGCCCAAGCTAATCTGACCGAGATGTAACCTAATCTCAACACTATAAATAGCCCTGTAACTTCATTTATTACGGGATCCGTAATCCAAAAAAAAGACAAAAACATTCTACACTTAAATTTTCAACTCTTACCTCGTTTACTTGACCTCGTAATATCACCTCGAAAACCTCATATCGATCTCACCTCTACTCAAACAAGAATCTCCGAGCTCCATTTAGAAACATTTACCAAAGTGACCTCGTGTGCGGATATAATACAACAATTGGCCCCAATCCGTTGATGGAGATGTTATTTCGATATTCAACGCTTTTGAATGATTCTAGAGAAATAAGAAATAGAAAAATAAAATAAATATTTTATTTTTATTAGTTTTTTGTGTAAAAGTTCCTCATACTAGCTTTTAGAATCCATGACCAAAAATAAAAAGCAGACTTTTAGGACTTTAAAATGAAAAAAAATTAAAAAGTCTGATCGGCAAGAAAAAAGACTTTTAAAACTGTGAAATAGGTTCTACAGCGTCCACAGTCTAAGCCAAGCACTCCTTTTAGCTTCTGCAAGTTGTTCATCTGGAGATAGTTCAATGGTTTTGATGATTGAATCGTCCAGCTGCAATTGCGGAGAACAAAACTTATATAGAGACGCAAAAGATTTGTCTTGTGAGGAAGGCGTGTACCCTCATGTATAGAGATGGGTCATCAATGTGAGACGAAAACCCCAAGTGATCATCGGCTTAGACCATAGCATCTACTGTCATTAGCTCTATTGTCTGCAAACGAATGGAAAGAAACTAGTGGGAAAGAGAGAAAGAATAGAGATGGAACAGAGAGAACGATAACGGTGCAATAATACCTTTACTTTCGAATGCGTGAAGACCGTTCGATAGAGATCAGCTCGAGTTGCAAATAACTTGTGTGGACATTACAATCGGCAAAATTCACCTGGTTTTACAAGGGAGTAGAAGCAAGTGCGAATACAGAATATATCAGGTGGAAACAAACTTACACTCCTTAGCGCGAAAGCAAATTTCATTGTCTATGACTCTCATCGTCTCTGTCAGTCTAGAAAACTAAAAATTAGCAATTTTCTTACTAGCAAAGACTGAAATGACTGTAGAGTAGTATGAAGACCTTTGGAACTGAAAATTGCATCCTAATCCACAAGCTCGAGAATCGCGAACAAGGTAGTCAAACCAGTTAAATATTGTAGACAATTAAAATTGACTTCTCAAGACGAAGGTGCAAATCTAAGCACCATGATGTGTGAAAGGGGAAAGAAAGAAACAGCAGACAAGTATACGATTAAAGGATAGATAGAATTACTTGTCCACATCAATCCCATTTCGACCTATAGGAACAATATCATACAAGAAACGTTTCTCTCTGTTGCTCTGCAAATTATGAAAGAAGGTAAAAAATAATTAAAAAACATAAGTATTTGTTCATGTTCGACAAGCTAGCTAGGATCATATCCTGTCAAGTAAACATTTGAGTAAATCATCAGCAGAGAGGGCTAGGAAGCAAGAAATATTAGATTGGATTTGTAAAGACTGAAACCAGTATCGCAGTTTCTAATTTTTTAGACTAGGGGCCATTTGACATAAGCAAAAGAGTCCTAAGAAAGGAAACTACCTTCACTTTTTTCAGCATTTGAGCATCAATATCAATGTGACGCGTATCCACCATATGGTCAATCATTTTTACATTAACTCATGAGACCTGCATGTAAAATTGCCATATAAAGAGCTGCAGAGAACAATAATTCAGAGAGCCAATGTATAAAAATTAAGGCAAAATTCAAATATCATATCAAGTAACACCATGGCATTGATCTTTTCAAGGGATGTGCAACATACCACTGACAGTCACTTATGACCTTAGAAACTCACGCTGCTTCAGTTTAGCAAGAACAGGAGCAACTGCATCTAATTGCAACAGATCGAAAAATTTGACTAAAGCAAATTATTCAAACCCAGAACAAGATTTAAATACCTCGGGGTTAAGACGCTTGCAGTGGCCACACCAAGGAGCATAGAAATCGACAAAGATGCAATCAAAGTGGATATCGCCGAGTCGAAATTGGAATCGGTGAGCTCCAGTCTGCTGCATGTTTCTTATCGCAATCGAAGCATATGATGCAGCAAGGAGAGCAATGTACCAACCTGGCGAAGGACCATTCAAGAGGACTAAGAAGGGAATTAGGAAGAATCTGGAATCACAAACTAAGAGGATTCCTAAACCATCGAAGCATGTGACGTCCCCTTTTATGGGAGAGCCCTCGGCTAAGAAGAAGAAGTAGTAGAATGTGTGGGATTTGGATAAATTTTGTTGTCTGGAAAACTATGATGCTTAGGTTTATTTGATAACTTATGTTTTTTGGATATTGTTGGTTATTTTAGGATATTGCTGGTTTATTTACTTTGTTGTTGAATTTTTGGATTTGTGTTTGTTTCCCATTTTGGTAACATTTGGACAATTGGGACAACGTTTCCCATTTTTAGGTAACATTTGGACAACTGGGACAATTATGAAATCGTTTTAAGGTAACATTTGGACAATTGGGACAATTACGAAATCGTTTTAAGGTAACATTTGGACAACAAAGACAACATTTCCTATTTTTAGGTAACATTTGGACAACTGGGACAATTATGAAATCGTTTTAAGGTAACATTTTGACAACAGGGACAACATTAATAAGTTTGAAATTGTTACATAACTCGGACAACATTGAGCACAGAAACACAAAGTAGAGGAAATAAAAATTCAAACACATGAGCAATACAAAATTCTACTTAAAAAGATAAGAAACCGCAACAAACACCATGAAAAATGTGATTATCACATATCCATTACCTCTGTTGGCAATCAATTCATTCATCCTTCTAATCTCTCTTTCCATCCCAGCTAGGAGCTCTCTGAGTTGCCTAATTTTGGATTCTTGTGTGTAGAACGAGCTATTCTCATGAAAGCAGTTTCGGACAACTCCCATGTTATGCATGCTTTTCATCCCAGATGTGGTATTATCAACTCGAATTTTTAGAGTTGATAGCTCTTTTGTAACAGCGTCCTCCCACCATTTCTATATGTGGTTATGATTTGGGCAAGGCCTCTTATAACACTGAGCCGAAATCAGTAAATTCGCCAGATTTTAAAGAAAACTCGAATTCAACTAATCCAACATTGTAGAACTAATTCCTACAAAACCCCAAAACTTATTACCTCAATTTTCCAATCTGGGCAAGTGTACCCTTTCCTTCCACGTGTGGCTTCAGACTTCGATTCCCTGATAACCATAAGGCGACCACACCAACACGTTTCTCTCATACCCCCTTCTCCATCAGGTTGGAAATATGAACTATCCATCGAGTGTCTGGAAGAAGAAGAACCCGAACTGTAACTTGGCATCTTGTTCAGCGGCGGAGGAACCATAGATTTTGATTTGGGGGAAATTGCTTTTTCCTCTCTAATATTTTCTGAATTTCCTTACTTATCAAAACGCTGAGTTTCCCTCTACCTATCTGAAACATAAAATATATTATTTTATTTTAACACTTGTGTTGGTGCCACAATTATTAATTTAACATGTGCTTTACGACGCTAAAACCAAAAATACCACATAGTTGTACCGATGCGTCCTGTTTTCCAAAATCGCTCATAGTTGTCCATTTTGGTTATTCTAATTATCCTGGAGCATAAATCTATATTTTATAGTTGTCCACATGACTATACACTTAAGGTTACCATTTAGTGGTAGATTACAATAAATTTTGAACAAAATCATATAAATTGTGTTTTTTCCCTTGGAAGATGGTTCCATTATGAAAGAGTTACATGTATCATATGAGGTTGTTGATGTGAAACTCCTACATTGTTTCAACAAACCAATATTATGTTGTCCATTATGAAAGAGTTATATGTATCATATGAGGGTATGTGTTTATTTGTTTATTTTGTTTAATTTGTTAGGTTAACCAGAATTTTAACATCTTTAATTTAATATATAGTTGTACCTTGTTGTCTAGTTGTTCCATTTGACGCACACTTAAAATACTCTTCCCCTAATTTTGTGAAACTATTAGTTGTACCAACTTGTCTAGTTGTCCTAGTCATCCGAGAAATAAAAAAACCATTACATATAAGAAACTTAACTTAGTTGTACCAATTTGTCTAGTTGTCACAGTCATCCGAGAAATAAAAAAACCATTACATATAAGAAACATAACTTAGTTGTACCTACATGTCCACTTGTACCTTAGAGAAAAACAACATCCAAATACAAAGATCACAAACAAACTAAATTCGGTTCCACTTTGGTTTCCACTTTGATTTTCACCTGGGTTTAATGGCTCAAACATACATCTGAGATGTATTCCCTTGTTAGCCTTGTTATTTCTTTTAGGGCGAGCTTCTCCGGTTGAGGGATACCGCTTATCTCGCTTTCTTCCATGTTTCTTAGGGTAGTCCGGTGGTAAAACGACTAACTTGTAGATTTAATCAGGGATAATCCATGTAGACTGATGTGACACCATATAAATAGTCCTGTAATAAGCCAGGGCCCAAGTATCAATGTGGTAATATTTTGAGCACAATTCATGTATGTGGATTTCCGTTCTTCTCTCAGCCGAACGCATCATTGCAAAGTCAGCGGCTATTGCCTGAACACAGGGAATCTTGTCTATATCAAAACGCTTGCAGCTACAACATTTACTTAACAAATCGACCAGATAGCCCTTCCCATCATCTCCAATCACACTGTATTCCAGATGAGTAGCGTTAAGCTCAGTGACAAATAATCTCGTCCCAATTGCACATAGAGTATGCAAATGGTTCTCAACATAGGGCATCAATGTCTTCCAGTCCGATGCATATGCAGTGTCTTTCCTATGCCTATTGAACCATTCAGAGATTTTTTCAACATATGCATCAATCAACGGTAATAAGGCATACTTCCTTGCCTTCTTGAAGACACTATTCATAGACTCACAAGCATTGTTTGTGTCCAAGTTGTACTTGTCTTTTTTAAAGAAGCACCTTACCCATTTATCAACTGCAACATTATCATATAAATACTCAGCAGCCTTTGGAAACCATTTTCTAAAATCAGTGTACGCACTTAGGAGCTCACTTTCAGTGTATTTGTGAGCGCATTCTCTGAATTTCACTGCATACAAATCTTTGCAGCCAATCCCAGCTTTCCCTTTCACGTTTTGCGACAAATGCCAAATGCAATATCCATGCTGAGACTGAGGATTCACCTCCTTCACTGCTCCAATGATGCTTTTATGTCTGTCACTCATAAAATCCAATTCCTGATCATCAGGTATAACAGTTTTGAGTGTTTCAAAAAACCACTTCCAACTAGCATCTTTCTCACTATCAATAACACCCATTGCAGTTGGATAATGGTGATGATTCAGATCCTGCGCTGTGGCAAATAGTAGCATACCACCATACACACTCTTAAAAAAAATCGCATCCACAACTAAAACTTTCCTCATTGCTCTAAAGCCTTCAATACTAGCGCCCAAACCGACAAAGAGATACTTAAACTTATTTCTGGCATCCACTTTCACACTGGTTACTGTCCTAGGATTAACAAGCTGTAACATGTATAACAATACAACTTTTCCCTCTCAAGGCAGTATAGTATGACACATTCAAGTGAGCTTCATTTTGAACAACTTCTATCAAAGTTTTGGGCACAGGGGTGTCTACTTCACCTGGATAGCACCCACGCAAAACATCTGCTACTACTTGTGGTGTGCCTTTCCTTTTATTCCAAATTGTGCTCGCAACAACCCGAGAGCAGGTATGGATATTCCTATACACCCTAATACTAAAATAAGTTGAATCCACAATTCATACAGCGTGTAGATGCCATGTACAACCATGTTCAGCTTGATGGCATCTTAGTATGAGTCGCCCTGGAACCGACTTTATGGTTTTTACCTCAAAACATCTCTTATGTGAAGCTCTGTTGACCAAAACTCGCAAAGCCTCCTTGGAAAGAAATTCTTGATCTTTTTCAAAGCCAGCGCCATCCTCCCATTCTAGAACAAACCAAGTTTGTTCCACAGGCCGTTGAGGCTCAACATGATCATGTTCATCTACATCTTCATGCATGCCATCCTCCACATGTTCATCCAGTTCCGCATTCTCCCCTAGTACCACATTTTCATAGCTTACCCCTAAATCAACACTGTCCATCCTCTCATTTGTCCTTGTTGTCCCTCTGCTTATTCTGGGTTGTAAACAATCAACTGGTCTCTTTGTTGTCCCTGTTGTCCCTGAATATCAGGCACATTCTCTGCTCTGGGAAGCTCTTCACATAACTCCCCTCGCTTATCTCTCTCAATATCTTCCATTAGCTCCACATTCAGAATGGATCTAAGTCCCTCTTTATCCACAGTCGTAAGATACACATACACATCACCATCATCATCAATACATGACTCCCTACGAGGCTTAGCTACCAACGGAATATAGCTCAATTTCAGCTTCCTCATACTGTCGTTCAACCCAATCTTCTTGCATATACCATCTACAAGTACCGAATAGGTTAACTCGTCCATAGATAAGTTTCTAAATGATAGAGCATATATGGAATTTGTTGAATTCCATTTAAACTCTTCTCTTTTCAGTGAGTAATATCTTCCATACTCAAAATGTATGTCTGTGGGGCTGCTCATCCTCTCCTGGAAATAAAAAAAAAAACAAAAAAAAATACTGCCAATTGTTAGCTTTCTCTCAGTTGTACTAATTGTCCCACATCAGTAATAATATTTGTACCAGATGTCCTACATATATTCTATTTGTACCAGTTTTCCCACATCCATAAGTCAAACCACTTGTACCAGGTGTCCCACATTCATAAGTTATACTATTTGTACCAGTTGTCCTATCTTTCTAAGTTGTACCATTTGTACCAATTGTCCCATAACTCTTAGTTATACCACTTGTCCCAGTTCTCACAAATCTCACGGACTCATCATTCACAACCTAGAACACTACAATTCAGCTCGATTCACCAACAACCATCGACTAATCGACCCATATAGGTGTCTTAAATATCCAGTGTGCATGCTAAAACTCACAAATTTCACAAATCGAGCTCCAAAATTAGAAAACCCCAAAACCATACCTAATGCTTCACAAGGAATGGAGGCTCACTTGGGTTCAGAGTACGAAGACGTGGTGTACAGGAGGACGACATGGTGGCTAATACGTTCCGGCGAGATGGGTCACGAGTCCAGCTCAAGATTCAGCTGAATAGAGCTCGGATCGGGAACCAATTCGAAATTCTCGAAAATGAGGAATTCGAGGAGAGAGAGAGAGAGCGAGCACAGCAAAAAATTAAATATTTTATTTTTATCTATCTCAATTTTCATTTTCAGATTTTATTAAAAAGAAAAAAAAAACAAAAATTCACATATGCTACAATTCAATTTTATTAAGGGTATAATTGGATTTACACACCAATTGTGGCACTGAGATTCCATTATGGCTCTGAAGATCGGTCAGCTTCGATTTATGGCAAATCAGCCTTTTATTCTTTTTATTTTTCTATTTTTCAAGTTCTATTTTTTGTTTTTTATGTTTAATTGTAATATTGGAGATTTGGATAAAAACACGATTACAGTAAAAAAAACAGTAAGACCCATTATTTTTCTATTTGTTAACATGATCAAACCCACTCTTATTTGGTCAAGACAATAACTTTCATTATTATTATTTTTATCATGTCTGTTTAATAACTAACATTACAAAGAGTAGTTTATTCTATACTATTATAGTATTATATAGTGTAATTTTATAGTATACATGGAGAAATTAAAATGCAAACATCTATTAATTTGTATGATGATAGTTTCAACATTATGATTATCTAATTGATATAGTAATTTAAATAATTAATTTTTTAACAAAAATATAATTAGTTTTAGGACAATTATTTTTATAAACTTTTTTTATTATAAACCCACAATTTATTTTTTGAGACTATATGTTTACTTATGAAAAAAAACTCGAGTTCATATGGAAACAATTACATAGAAATATTAATTGCATTTTTGAAACAAGAAAAAAGTACATAGGAAAACAAAGGAAAAAGATAAACAAATACAGCCTCCTTCATCTTTTTCTTTCAATTTTTTTTCCATGCTTTCTTCTTGCTTCATTTTTTGTTTCATGCTTTCTTCTTGCTTCATTTTTTTTTTCAACAAAAGAACAAAATGGAATTTGTAGAAAGAATGGAGAGAATAAATTGTAAATTAATATAGAGAGAAAGTGAAAATGTTCATTTAAATAGACGAATAAGCCAAAACAAAATCTGTTGTTTGTATTTCCTGCAATCAAGGAAGGTTTATTCAACTTTTACTTAATCAACAAAAATATAGTATTGAGAAAAAAAATATAAGAGAATGTTAAAGTTAAAAATCAGATAAAAAAAGTTGTTGATATTTAAAATAACTATGAAAGAGAAAATTGAGTAAAAAATTATATGTTCGATTTCACCGAACATCAAAGGATTTAATTGTTGTATCCTAGATTCTTTACATTCAGTTATCAACGTTTTAATTTTTACAGATTTTATTTTATTAAAAACTATAATTTAAAATGTCCTTATTAAGCGGATAGTACAATCGTACGTGCCACTGCATTGCCCCAGCATGAAATTCTCCGCCGTCAGGCCACTATCAATTTCTTAATTATTTTCCATATAACGTCTTCAACATTGAGTTTTAATTGACTGAAATACCTTCTAACTACATTAGATTCTTTACATTAAAAAAAATGACACCAATACCCAACTACCAATTATCCCACATCGATTACAAACTGAAAAGAGGAAAGAAATTTGAAGTTATAAATAGAGAAATAAAAAAAACCATGAAAAACTAAAAAAAAAAAAAAACTCAAAAGTTCACTTGTGAATTCCAAATGGGCTTAAAATTATTTGAATAGGTTTCGATTTATTTGACCTAATTTCATATTTTAATGGCTTCAAATAGTGATGTATATGCTACAAGACGATAGATATATGAAAGAATTGATCATACAACCAATCAAGTTTCAGAGATTTTATTGCCAAGGGGTGAAAATTTCTATCGAGTTTGCAAAGAGTCAACTTTTATATCCGGAGAATAACAAGCTGTTTTGTCCATGTATTAAGTGTGAGAATGGAGGAAGATTATTGAAAGAAGAGCTGGTGTCGGCACATTTATATAACAGAGGTTTTATGCTTAACTATTGGGTTTGGATTTCTCATGGAGAAGATTACGATATGTTAAACAATGATTCAGTAGAAGATGCTTTCACAATCGAGTCTCACACAGAGCCAATGAACCCTTATGTGACAATGGTCTCAGATGCATTTGGTAATACAGAGCCAGAGTTTGATCAGATTATGGAAGAACCTAACCCTGAGACAAAAAAAAAAATTATGATATTTTGGATAGATGCTGCAAAACAACCAATTTATGATGGATGTAAAGAAGGTCTTTCTATACTCTCTTTAGCAGCTCAGCTTATGACTTTGAAGACAGATTATAATTTGTCTCAAAATTGTATGGACGCGATTGCTCAGATAATACAAGAATATTTGCCAGAAGGTAACAAATCACCAAAGTCATACTATGAAATCAAGAAGCTTATGCGGTTTTTGGGTTTACCTTATCACAAGATTGATGTTTGTCAAGATAATTGCATGATATTCTGGAAGGATGTTGAAAAGGAAGAAAGTTGTTTGTTTTGTACAAAAAATAGATTTCGTCCTGCTCAAAAGATTGGGCAGAAAAAAATTGCATACCGCCAAATGTTTTATTTGCCGATAGCTGATAGACTGAAAAGGTTATTTCAATCAGGTAATACTGCAAAAGATATAAGATGGCATGCAACACACTTCGCGAATGACGGAGAAATGTGTCATCCATCAGATGGGGAACCATGGAAGCATTTTGACGTGGTATTCCCTGATTTTGCATCTGAACCAATAAATGTTTACCTTGAGTTATGTACGGATGTTTTGTGAAACAGTTATCAAGAGAAGAGAAGAAATTGGTGTGTCTTATTCCAGAAATAATGAGAGGTATATATAGTATTACAAAGATCTAGCAATCATTCCAAGTTTCCGATGTGGGACAAATACAATATTAGTTATGGGCGTTATAGTAGGCATCCATATTAATATTCATAACACTCCCCCTGATGACCATTATAATGATATTGTAGTAAAGCGTGTAAGATGATGCCTCATTAAAAACCTTACTAGGAAAACCATGTGGGAAAAACCATAGTTAAGGGAAAAAGGGTGCAGCGCATTTACTCCCCCTCATGTGTACCTCCGTCTAGATCCTTGAGATGTCGTAATCCAATAAGTTGAACCAACTTCTTGAATGTGGCAGTTGGAATCGCCTTGGTAAAGAAATCCGCCAAATTATCGCTTGAGCGGATCTGTAGAACACGAAGATCCCCATTCTTCTGCAAGTCATGCATAAAGAAGAATTTTGGTAGAATTTGCTTTGTTCTATCTCCTTTGATGTGTCTTCATACATAATTGTTGGAGCTTCTTCCCCTTCTGATAAACCACAATCTTCTCGAATATGTTGAATGACGGACCTTAACTATATACACTCTCGACTGGCTTCATGAATAGCTAAAATCTCAGCATGGTTAGAAGGAGTAATGGTTTGCTTCATAGAACGCCAAACAATAGCTGTACCACCACATGTGAATACATATCCTGTCTGTGATCTGGCATTATGGGGATCAAATAAATATCCAGCATCTGCAAAACCAATCAAATCTCCTTTAGGTGGGTTAAAAAAGAATAAACCCATATCTTTCGTTCCTTTGAGGTAACGAAATATATGTTTAATCCCATTCTAATGTCTTCGAGTTAGACATGAGCAAAACCTTGGCAATAAATTTACCGCAAATGATATGTCAGGTCTCGTATGAATCGTAAAGTACATTAATGCCCCTATTGCACTTAAGTATGGTACCTCAGGACCAAGTACTTCTTCATCCTCTTCTCGAGGTCGAAAGGGATCTTTTGACACATCAAGTGATCTTACGATCATTGGACTGCTCAAAGGGTGTGCATCATCCATATAGAACCTTTTAAGCATCTTTTCTGTATATGTCATTTGATGCACTAGGATTTCATCCTTTTAGATCCTCAATTTGCAATCCCAAGCAAAATTTTG